CACAAAACTAGGAGCCAAATAAAGTATAATTTCAAGGGACTGTTGTTAATATCCATTTTGAGTAATAAGCGTCCTTAAATTCCGAAATCTCGAAGTTTCATGCATTTCTGAAATTTACTGTTATATGAACAGTGGGCGTAATTAAAATTACGATTTCAATAATTTTAAACGTTTTGGCTTTTATGTGGCAAGCCCAATAACCGTACCGAGTTTGGTGCAAATTGATTGAAACGGTTACAGAGATACACATATTTGGACATAAGCGGGCGGTGCCACGCCCATTTTCCAAAATTTTATCATGCACATATTTTCTGCTAACGAATTATTGCAAACATCAATTTTGAATATATTTGCTTCAGTATTTACTGATTTATCGAAGATTTCGGATTTCTGTAAAATACCGTTTTATGGGAGGCGGGCGTCATTACCGCCCGATTAATTGTGTTAACAAGTAGTAAAGCGTTGTTATTGCTTTAACAAGTATTGTAAAGTGTTTTTACTGTATTAGCAAGTATTGTAAATTGTTTGTTGTACAATAAAGTTAATTGTACTACAATTTGGTCATCGTTAGCATTTATTTAACAATCCAGCGATACGAGCCCGAGTATATTTGGGAAATCCCTCAAGGTTTCGAGGATAATCGTAACAATATTTAACAAACTTCCCGATGAGCTACAGACTTGAAACTTCAAACTTAGCTCAGAGCTCGAGGATAATACAATTTAAAAGACGTTTTAATCCGCTAGGTGGCGCAGGAGTGGAGATATTTGTAAAACCCGCATTTATAGTCTGATGTGGTTCATATTTAGAACATATATGGCTTATATGAAAATAAATAAATCCACAAAAAATTTTGCCGACAGTGGCGCAGGAGTCGAGATATTTGGAAAAACCGTATTTATGATCCGATTAAGTTCACATTTAGAATGCATATTGCTTACATGAAATGAAATAACTACACAAAAAATGTTGGCAGTAATGTGGCGCGTGAGTCTATATAATTAAAAATTCGGCATCTGTGCTCAAATTTGGTTTTATTCAGAATAGGTGTATTGCCTATTTAAATTGAAATATATTGAAAATTTTGTTTGTTAAGGTCAAATGTAGCATAATATTAACTGCAAGATTTCAAAAGACTAAAAAGTAGAAAATAAAATTACAGTTAAAAAACTAAAAACACGCTTTTATTACAACAAGAACTAAAAAGTATAAAATAATTTGTAGATATAGCGATTCCGTTTAAGAAGAATAAGAAGTTCCCTAACCTGGCTTAATTTAACTGTTTTAAATTAGCTAAAAATAGGATTAAAGTGATTGACCCGTAGTTATAGTCAAAATAAAGTGCACTGTAAAGTTTGTTGCAGTTTTTTTTACAGATATCCCATTGAAAGTTATGTCAAAAAGCTGCAACTAACTTTACAGTGAGTGCAAATTATTTTATACTTTTTAGTTCTTGTTGTAATAAAAGCGTGTTTTTAGTTTTTTAACTATAATTTTATTATGTATAAATCTCGATGCCTGGAGTTCAACTGGTCGATGGGCGATTTTGCTAAAACATCGACGATATGTTACTATATGTTATGTATAAAAAAAAAGTAGATTAAGTATAATATCAATGCTTAGTTATGAATAATATCAATAGTTATGCACATTATTGTTTTTCTATAAACTGGAAAACTCAAGTCGTAATTATAGCGCTGAATGGAGTTCTCTTAAATGAAGTTTAAAATTGAAAAACTATCCATTTCCGAATATATTTAATTCTTTATTCCAACAAAAAAACACACGGTTTGTTTAGTTACAGAGACTTGAATGCCTGTCAGACAGAGTTCATTAAGCACACACAAGTTGGAGCGACCATTACCCGGAGCTCCTCAAAAATACTTAACATCACAGTATAGAATGTCCCAACTATGAATCATACACACATTTAATAGTAATTGTTATGAATTGCTACTGTATAAATTCAGGGCAAGCATTTGCTTGGAGACTCCGTTGGTTATGGTGGTCAGCCAGCACTTACAATGGTCCATTACCCGGTGCTGCTCTAACATGATGAGTCGATTTTAGTGAGCCTCACATGTCACTGCCTCTGGCTGCAAGCCTAATATCTAAATATTAGAAAATAAATAACAATTATCTATTAAAATTATAAGAAGTGTTTGTCTACAAAATTACCCGCTCTTCTCGCAATTTCTAAGGAAAATAGAAATTCACCATTCGGAGAAACGTCAAATAATGTGCCTTTTTACGTAAATTTGGTTTAAGTACTATCGTTTTCACTATTTTACAGTTCATTATCATTTACGGTGTAATGTAACAAGTTAAACACTGAACGATGATAATCTGTATTAGTATCTATAATAATAGAGAATCATTCAAATTTTTTTACACTTTTGTAATTAATTTCGGTCACAGTCATGACTTGTTCCACTCTGCCATAGTGCGGTTGTTGCTCCTTTTCCTATCACAGTAATTTTGTATACATCTCTGAATCAGCAAAATTCATACTCCTGCTCATTGTCAACCCTGATCAGATTTTACACACGAGGATTACTCAAAAAGGTTTTTTACTGTATATACTGTGGCCAAGAACTTGAATTCAATAAGTCTAGGTTCAGACAGGGAAACTTTTGTCGCGGCAACTCGTTACTTGTAGGAGAGGGAGTGACGAGCAAGGGGGAAAGGCACAGAGTTTCTCGTGCTCGGGAGCACAACACGATGCTCTGCAAGCAATTTCTGGTTGGGAGCCACAGATGTGGCCATACATACATATGCACATACAGTGACTTACACAAGCGTTCACGTGGAGTTTTTTCTTCAACATTCCTAAAGTTTTTCAATTTAATTTTTTTTCTATAAAAATATTGTTCTAGCTCTAGCCAAAACCGAATGTATTCACCAACTTTTGAAACTTTATACAAAACTTAGGTAAAGTAATCAAATTTTCATAAAAATTTCGAACTTTTTAATCTGATGGAATACCACATTTCCGGATATGAAGTTTTATAATAATAATAATAGATTGGAGCTTACACATACATATGTTAGTGTTTGGCCGAGCTTCTCCTCCGATTTGTGGCGTGCGCCTTGATGTTGTCACACAAAGCGGAGGGACCTACAGTTTTACGCCGACTCCGAACGGCGATTGCATTTTTATGAGAAGCTGTTTTTCATGGCAGAAATACACTTGGAGGTTTGCCATTGCCTGCCGAGGGACGACCGCTGTTATGAAGTTTTATAGCCCATACAATTTTAGTCCCATGAAGTGCATGTTTCAACCGGCTAAAAAGCTGCGTTGATTTTAAATATTTTTTTTTTTGGGTGACGGATTTTTTCATTTTTTTCATATAAGCATGACTTTTTAATGAAATAAAATACGGAAGGCCAAGGGGAATTTATATAAGGTGGTGTTACTAGCTCAGCTGATTTTGTGTATGTGTTTCGCCGCACGGCTTCTGATATCAAATTGAAAAATTTTGTTTGAATTTCTACACACACTCTTACAGATTTTGACAGTTTATGCCGCCAAAGCAAAAACAAAATACATGTAAATTTTTGTTTTTGTACTCCTGCTATCATCAACTTATATTAATTCTTCCGCAAGGCCGTTCGCAGCAAAGAGCCAAAAAACCAAAGACAGTTTTCACATATTCCTCTTGTTATAAAAAAACGCAAAGGCGAAACCCAAAAAATTACTAAACGATTTTAACCGGTTGAAGTTACTTTTACGTTTAACAATTATATTAAAGCATGTTCACATTATCCTAATTTACGGCTCATTTATAAGCAAATCATGCTAAAATCAGTATATAAATTAAAAAGAAATGAGAAAATTTATCATAAATCAAGAACCAAACTAAGTAAAAACAAATTTTTCATTTATTTTAGACCACTGTTGAGGAAATTTAAAGTGCCTAAAAGTATGGAATGTACCCATTGTCACAACCAATCTTTCCGAGCAATCAACTTGTATACCCATTTGCGGATTTTCTCTACAGCCGGGTGATAACGTTTCGGCAGGATCTCAATTCTGTTATAACTGGGTTAGGGTGGGTTTCGAGTTTTAGATTATAAGGGACAGCATGCTTTTTGATTTCTTCCGCAAGGTCTGAGAGTTTTCGATTGAAATCTTTGAAGTATTTCTCTGTTCGAGTTTGCTGCAGTTACCCACAACTGAATTCCGTAGGTCCAGATTGGCTTTATAATAGTAGAGTATAGGAGAATTTTTTTGTCAATAGATAGATAGTGAGTTTAAGTCCTAGGGCTTTTCGTTTTGTAATATGCGTTCTCCAGGCAAACTTTCTATCGGATTCAAGATATTTAGTCTCGTTGCTTTGGGGTATACATATACATATATATGTAATGTAAGTCATTGAGTTTGCAATTCATCAAACAAGAATTGTATGGGCTATATAACTGCATACCCAGGAAATTGTATAAAGATTCAGATTAAAAACATCGAAATTTAGATGAAAATTTTACGAATTTTCCTTAATTTTGTATAAAGTTTGAAACTTTGATTCATGTGGTTTTGGCTAAAGTTTAGAAAAATAACAAAAAAAAATGTACTTTAAAAATGTTACGAATATTGAAAAAAGCTCCACGCGTGAATTTTGTAAGTCACTGTATATGTATGTATGTGTTCACTACTCAAAATGTTAAATTACTCAACGAATGTCTGAACATTACTCGATTAAATCGGGATAACAAAGGATATCATTCGGAAAAAGCCCGCCTTTCACAAATATATGTAAATCGAAAAATTGCAGCCCGTAGGTGAAGAAATATACCGATATGCATTTACTACCTATTCGTATGTATGTACATATGTACAAAACATACATAATATGAAAAGCATGCGGGCAAGATGAATGTGTAATATATGTATGAATCGGTATATGTATGTTAATTATGTAAATACACGTACTTGCATTTTTCTGTTAAAAATAAAGATTAAAAATGTATCGCAATAACTAAAGCGGAAAGTTTATATTTACATCGAAAGACATCAACGGCTCCTTTCCATCTTCCAGGTAATATTCAATATTCATAGTTACTAGGCCCTGTTGAAAAATGCGCAATGTTACCATTGTCTCCTTGTTTTCTGTTAGAACACAAAAAAATCCGTCCTCCATAGACATTTGATAGGCCAGTTCAATTTGTGGAAATACGTTCTCCACTTCACCTCGTACTACTTTGGCAATCTCCTGACGCTGCTTAGAATCAGAAGTCTTTCCTGAATCCACAGTGAAATCGAAAAGAATAGTTTGGGCCGTCATTTTGCCAATAATTCGATTTTTTATTTGTAAGGATCTTAAAATTTTAATAGTAAAATTAGATCCCACGCACTTCGCGGCAAGAGCTTCCTGTACAAAAACTTGTTTTTCACAAAAAGAACAGCGCTATTGATTTTGTTTTGACAAATACAAAATACAGCGACATCTGTTGCTTTTACAAAAATGGCAAATGTCATCCTTAGAAAGAGTTGCAGCTAGTTTTCACTTCCCCCAAGTCTCTGTTTTCCATGATTATTGAATCATGTTTATTTTCTACTAAGGGCCAGTTTTCCAGTGCCAGTTTATGCAGCGTTTTTGCTGTATTTAATTAGTACTTTCGAACATGTTTTCGAAGAGCGTTCATGCTACCGCATTTAGCAAATGTACATTTACGCGAGTTCGAAATAGTATGCTTTTGACAAACAGCCGTGTTCCAGTCGCTTATTCAGATCCGTAGCTATTACGAACAATTCTCACGCAGAAGATAATGTACATTTAGAGTAGCATTTAGAGCTGAATGCGCTAAATGTGCTTTTACGCGTAAGCAAACACAGGCCATAAGCTACATCTACGATTCGATACGATACAAGAGTTCTGGTACTCGATTCCATTAAATATCGTTTGAAAACTATCGGTATCGAACGGCAAAAATATCGATGTGGTGTCGTAACGTATCGAAATTCGTGTTCCTACTCACTAGCTGTGTTTGCTTCGGCAATGAGCGGGATCCGCATAAAAATTTTGCACGCGATTGTAGGAACGATTGCAAGTAGTGGCTGATGTAGTGTAGTGCATGATCCAATAATACAAGATCAAGCCTTTTTCTTAGTGGCCCGTTATAATCGCATTTAGGAAATAAGTTGGGCGACTTTGACATTAGCCGTTTATTTATATTTGTTCGTTGTTTACAAGTTGGTGGTGGCTTTTTACTGCAATTATCTTAATTTCCGCTTGTGACAACGTGTGTACACGTAAGGTAAGGAATAATTTAACACAACGACATGATTTATAGAAGAATTTGCATAATAAAAATGATTATTCATGCGTTCAAGAATTACGCGGTTTTTTGCGTTCTCTTCGTTGTTTACTTCTTACAACAAAGACGGCGTCGAGATTTCAACAGCTAGAAAATAACTTTTTTCTTTCTTTCGGGAAGGCGTGATCTTGTGTCTTTCGTTCATGGGTGTAGTGGTAGGTAGTGCACGCTTCCAACCCACAGGGTCTGGCTTCAAGCCCTGGTCAAAGCAACATCGCAAAAAAAATGTAGACAAGTTTTTTTCTTAACAGCTTTCGACCCTCGGCAGGAAATGGCAAACCTCCGAGTGCGTTTCTGCCATGAAAAATTGCTTCTCATAAAAATGCAATCGTCGCTCGAAGTCGTCGTTAAACTCCCTCCTTTTTGTTTGACAACATCAAGGCGCACGCCAAAAATCGGAGATGAAACTCAGCCATACACTTAGTGAAAGTTTAAGCGCCAAGATAATATTTATTTATAACGGTCGTAGGACGTACTATAGTAGGTAGTAGTACTATAGTAACAGTTTTTGGTAATAAAATTTTCCGGTTGCATAATGATCGGTAGCGTGCAGAATAGACCTGTTACACGATAGTTTCAATTTTATTTACTGTGTATTCAATGTGCTCCTCAAATTTTAATTTATTGTCGATGATTATACTTAATGATTTTTTGTTCTATTAATTCATTCCTGATTTTTAACCTATAATTAACGTGCTCAACGTGGACTGCCCTAGATGTGATTATTATTATTATTATTATTAACCCCAATAAAAATGATCCAGAACATTTTCGTGAAAAACGACCGTGGTATTGAGCTGAGGGTCAATTCCCGTTCTGCGTTATCGTGAAGTGATAAAAATAACACCTTTACACCGCATTTATTTCGGTGTTAATTTTATACTTTTTACCTCACTTCACGATAACGCAGAACGGGAATTGACCCTCTGGATAACCAAAGAAAACGTAGCTATTAGCAGCGTACCGAGATGCGAATAATTTACAATAGATTCTAAGTAGCAATAAATAAAACTATTTATATTTGTTTTCTTATTGAGAGTAGTTAAGTTACCAGAATTGCTTATCGTAATACCAATGAATAGGAAGCTGTATTCTAGAGGTTTAAAACGCCCCGCCGGTTATAAAAGTTTACCTAAGAGTAGTCAAAATTTTCAAAACCCATCTTTTTTGATTTTTTTTTTTTGCATTTCCTTGTATAATATTTCGAAAACATTCCCCGTATAGCCACTCAATTGATTTGAAGGCATAAAAACCAGGACTTCATGCACGGATTTTTTGTTGGAAATTTCGATTTATTTTGGCAATAAGCTATGGCTTATTTCTTGAGAATTCGGGATTGAGCCATCACAAGACGGCACTTATTGTCTCCAAAATGAATGCATAAATAATTTAAATAGAACTTAGAGGTTTTATTTATGTATATCAGAATATTAATTTAAACACTTGAATATGTAAATATGTGTAAATATATTGAAACGTCTGTAGTTCTGGGGTTGATTTAAAATTCGTACAATGTACAAATGTATTTATGTATATAGGCTACTTTATTTGATATATTTTAAGGCACACAAATATATAGAAACAACTGTCGATTTGTAAGCGAAACTCTTCTATTCAGGAATTTTGCTGCAAGCGTTTAAAACAAAGAGATATAAAATTATACTTAAATATCTTATAAAAGCAATTACTTAGTGTTGTTTTAAAATAAAATGTAAATATTCATCTTGAGCGATTATTATATGCATGTACTATGCATGTATGTATGTATATTCGATTCATACCCATAAACTCTCGTACTTTTGGAACAGCTTTCTTTTGAAAATTTCAGCATTTAAAATATACCGCTATTAGGACCGAGATCCTAGAAAAGCATTAGTATTAAAACATAACAGTACGATATAAGAAATATACATTATAGAATATAACATATTTATGCAATTGCAATTCGTTCCAGTTTTATATATAAAAACTATTTTGAAAAAATGTACTAATGGATAAATCCATTCGTTTATGAATATTTTCATAGTTATTGTACAACAGGTAAACATATATCATTGTTTACACTAAACTGAAAGGTGATTTTTAGTTGCTTTGAAAGACTCTTTGCTGTTAAATATTTTACTTGAATCATTTTTATCGTCGGTGGCGCCCAAGGTATGCTTTGCAATTGGGGCATGTGTGATGTACGTCCATACAATCATCAATACAGCATGGTATAAGGCAACAACCAAGCCAACAGCTGAGTGCAAACAAAAAGGATAGTAAATTTTGCAAGATTAATATTTGATTTTTTTTTACTTACCCAAGTAAAGCTATTATAAAACCAGATAAGTATGCAATCATACCAGGCTCCGTACGCGTTGTAGTCTCAATTTCGACATGACAAGAAGGGCAGATCATATGCGTAGCAGTTCGGCCAATAGGTACCACTGTAGTTACAATAGTGTTGTTAACTGACGGTGCTGTTGGGGGAGTGATTGGTGTAAAAGGACCAACTGGTTTAACTCCTCCCACGGCTTCCTGATAAGAAGGTGGCGCAGATGGTGGCGGAACATA